ATATAATAGTAATAATTACAGTTCAATACAATCTCATCAATCAACTGCTTTCCTTCGTTTCTGCCACCTAAAAATCTAATCCACTCGCTTCTCGTTCAACTGTCAAGACATAGTTTATAGCCGACGTTCTGATCATGACAATTATTTCATACGTTTGCTGTAGAATTCTGTTTTTTCTCTATAGAAACGACAAGATAAGATTTCATGAACCTTCTCGGCTCTGATCTCACTCCGTTGTAACAGCGGAAACCGAGAGAAGTATATCCGAGGTTAATTACTCGTAGCCTCGTTCAGATTAATGCGGACGGTGCTTTAAACGATGAACTCGGTCGGCTGATGAGGGAAACGCTAGCTACGAACTTCTCTCGTAGAGGATTCAATGTGCTAGACTCACGCACCCTCCTACACGGCCTTGCAAGAGACGTATACGCCTAACCCGCTTCCACCACCCGGCACTGATACAATACGCACGCGTGGATTATGCTGTTTCATTGAAACAACACCGGTTGACTGCATATTACATGCAACTGGCGCATTAACGATTCAATTCATCGGTTGCTCGCCAGTGTACAGGATTTAAAGTATTCAGGCCGTTTGAAAATTTAATGTTAAATCGTGACATCGAGCCAACGATTGACTACTGATCTAATGTGTAGTTAAACATTCATGGGTTCATTTAGTTTTACTCTATAAATAATTAATTCACCTCTATTAACTGCATGTTTATTATAAGTAACTGCGGATCTACGTGCGAATTTCAATTTTCATCGCTTGCCCGCTGAACATCGGAATAAGGATGAGTTTTTCATTTATTAACTTCACGTTTAATGTTTTCTGCTTTCTTATCGTAAAATAAGAATACTATTTATTTATTTTTGTATGTACACACTTCTTTGTATTTTAAGTTTGTACTACAAAATATTTATTATTTATATTATGAACATTTTAAAATTCGCAGTACAATTTTAAATATCATTGGCGATTTGTTTTCTTTTATTTCGTTTTTCTTATTTAGTTATAAGTCATCTGTTACGAATTAACGGGAAAGAAATACTTTAGTTTCGATTATAATACATGCGACGATATATTGTAGATGATAGCACATTTCTTTTGCTAACTATGAAATAACACTAAAGAATTCGCTTAATGTTTGAAGAATTGAAACTTGGCTTAAAGGAGGCGCTAGAAGAAGTATTTAATATTTATTTTGTTCAGCACCTCATCGTAGCGATAAAAGGATGAAATTGTTCATCAAAGTTCGGCACAGTGGAAGTGGTTAACTACATAACTTAAGAAGTTTAATATACAAGAATTCACGTTGTATAATTAGATGATGCCGGAATAATTGATTTCAGTTTATAATCAGTTTTCATCTCTAAAATATAAAGTTCCACGATCACCAGACTTGATCTTAAACTGTAGTGAAGTATGGATTTCCATTCATTTTATGTAACCACTTCCAATACTTGAAACCTCGCATAATCTAGCAAGAAAATTATATTACATTTGTCTATTTTCATAAATTCTTAATTTGTTTATTGTTTTTATAAATCTAACTTAATGAAATCAATTAATCGTTAGAAGATATATACTGAGGCGTATGATCACTATTTTAATTTTCTTCTATTCCGAATCATACGATTAATCTTTTGATTTTTATTCTATTCCGTATAATATGATCAGTGTTTTGATTTTTTTTATTCTGAATCATACGATTACTGTTTTCATTTCTTCTTCTATTCTGTACCATATGATCACTGTTTTGATTTTTCTTTCTATTCTGAATCATATGATCGTTACTTTGATTCATAATTTTTAGAAGAAACCAGGCGTGGTTAACATTTCGTTTCGAGGAAAAGACATTTCACATTCATCAGCTTATTTCAACTCGTCACATAAAACATTATGACGTTCCGCTGGCCACACATTTATGTGTTTCAAATGCTCGGTATTTCACATATGGAACGCAGTTCAGCTAAAGCAGATTACCGACTTTCACATTATTTTTTACCGAGAAAAGTTTGACCCAATATAACACGTATTTACACGGCCGCAAGTCTTGCACGTTTTACATTCGCAGCGTTTTCCAGTTGCTTGTATGCAGGATTTAATGAAATTTATTTGCCCGTGAGAGTGTGTTCAATGTTTTCAAAAAGCGTGTTCAACGAGTCGGCCTTTATCTATAACAAGTTGTCTCACAATAGAAAAAGAGCGACGCGTGTTTCAATAATAACGCGTTTTCGAAAGTTCGAACAGCTCTTGCTGTGAAGCAACAAATTTAAAACATGTTTTCAACGAAAAGTGTAACATACGAATACGGCACTTCTGACTTTTGCACCAACGTTTCTGTCCCAGGGGATCATTCTTAACCTCTTCTTTTATAACATCCAGTTAGTTTCGAGATGAAAATTTTCAACTGAATTCAATAAATCTAAATGTTATTTATATATCTCCCATGTAAATGAAATATTACTGTACTTACAAATTCTTTTCTACTTCTTCCAAATTATTAACGATAAAATAGTTCTATCAAGCAGTTCAAATCAGTTTTTGTTTCAAGATAATAATGCGATCTGCCTCGCATAACCAAAGAGTGTTTACACATTGAAATCACATTGAAAATTCGAGAAATAGTAAAAAAATTAATTGTTCAAAGCTGAAAACACTTCGCCGCTAAGAGTAAAGGGAGAATCTCATTTTTTTTTTAAAAAGAATGGATTTATTACAATTTTTTGTAGAAAAAGATTGAATGTTTTTTTATAATTGAAAAATTTTGCATATATTTTTATTATAGTTTTATTAAGTTTCTTGAATTTTTTCAGTCGTATTTATTCAGAAATATAATTTCTACAGCTCATAGATCAAACTGACTTACTTACTTACTTACTTATTTGACGGTTGACATGATTATAAGAATAGTATTGGATTTATCAACTTAATATCTTATATTAATATTTCATATATATATATATATTACATTATAAATAACTTTTGTTTTTATTCATTCATTGTTCAGTCGTCGTTGTAAAAACATGTTATAAAAATTACGTGCCTTACATAAAATAAATATGTTAATATAGAATGCAGAATATATATTCACGTTACTTTCTAACCCTACAAAATCTGCATAAGAAATAACCACACAAATAAATACTCTTAATTTAATTTTACGAACCGACAGATTAGCACTTTTGGGGAGTATAACGGAGAAATCCGTTCGCTCCGCTTAATACTCAAAGGTTTAATGATTTTCTACAGAGTGATACATTTCAAAGCAATCTAATCTACATAACACAATAAAACTTGTAACGCGTGCAACACGCCTTCGAAAATTTTGGAAGATAAACGCTCCGAAGTGCGTGGCACTTAATTCTAAGGCAAGGGGTTAACATAGGCATGCGAGTTTCTCGCGGAGAAAAGAATCACGTTCGCGAATAGCTCAAGGAACCGTCAATGAAGACGGCGATAAAAATTTTATTAGAGCATAACCGGCAAATATCTTTCGGCAAATGTATTCCCTAAGAGATAACCGGCGATCCGTTCTTTTCGCGAATCTTCTTTGAATAAAAATCACTTAGGGGACTCGATGCCTCGCCGATAGTGCGCGCGGAAATTTTTATCGTTAGGTCGAGAAGTTTTTTCTTTATAGAACTCGAATGAATGACGCGGAAAGATGCATGCGCCGCGATTTCTGAAATAGTTACCCGGTGAGAATGACGTTCCGAGGAAGTAAAGATAAGCAGCGAGCACTTAGAAATATGAAGACGACGATGATACTAAAAAGGCAGTAAGATAAAACCCAGACGAGACATTGAACGGTTGGAGAGGTTAAACATTTTGACGGGGGACTCCATAGTTCGAATTTCATGCTGACACCGACAGTAGTGCACGATTTTCGTCTTGTTTAAGGCATGTGGAGTTATCTGGTTTCGAACTTTTTTATTATGCTAACTATTATCACTAAAAGAACATAACTGCAATCTTTTCCAATAACTTCAATTGAACTTATTCAACAGACTTTGATTACTGGACTAATGTATAGTTAAATATTCATGGGTTCATTTAGTTTTATACTACGAGTAATTAATTGATGTCTATTAGCTGACTGTTTATTATAAGTAGACTGTAGTGGTGCACAATGTTCATCGTGTTCCCAGAATATGGTGTTACCTGCTTTTGAAGTTTTTTATTGCGTTGACTATTATCACTTAGCCAACTGCCTAAAAGAACATAACTGTAACCTTTTCCAATAACTTTAATTTAACTTATTCAACAGATTTTATTAAAAATTGTGTTTGACAAAAGCAAGAAAAGTATTTGTTGAATTGAAAGTATCCCTACTTCAAGACGTACTTATTTTATTATTTAATTGTTTACTTATTTTTATTATTACAAAAGACAAAATAAAATAAATAGCAATACGTTGTTAAGGGAAAAATAGGAGATCTACCCATTCGATTGGCTAAGTATTAAGGTATTAGATTTAATAACGATGTCGGGTTATGTAAATAACAATAATATTAAAATAAATTGTTATGATGAATTGTTAAAATGAATTGTTAGGATGAATTATCTTTTCAAATATAGAATAAGTCCTAGCTATTAACCATTTGTCCTACGATTTACCGTTAATAATTTATTGGAAAAAGACAAGAATTTGACAGTTACACTTTGTCAACGTTTACTCTAAACATTAAAAATTGAGAATAGACAGGTAATATTTCGTTTATATGAAAAATAAATAACGCTCAGATTTGACGAATTCGATTGAAAATTTTCATTGCGAGTTTGCATCGGTATTGTAGGAGAAGGGGTTAATAGATCATTCTTAATGGTTTCCGATATTTTTAAAATGTCAATTCTTCATCAATCCTTTTTAATGCCTCGTTACTATGTAAATCAATAGAAAGTTTGAATTACTAAAGGTTTACTTATATAAATAAAAAATTTAGAAATATTATACAATCATTCAGTTTCAATTACACAGTGTCATTACTTACAGGATGCATCAAAAACGTGTTCGGTGCGAATTTCGATGAAGTTGCTCAAGTGGAGAAGCCAAGTGCAGGTAAAATCTGAAACAAAAATGTATTTAGCACAAACATATGTAATATAAAGTTGTATAATCATATATAATATCATTTAAAACATATGTAATATAGTATCGCACTAAAAAGTGGTTATTAACCCCTTGTCTTACGATTCATGTTTTGATTATAATCGATACACGCACTTATTTTATTCAATATGCAATGAATAATGTATTGACAAAAAGAAACAAATTCTAGGCATTTTTACGCCAATGTCTACTCTATGTTATAATAAAACATAACAGAAGAATAATATTTCATTTGAATTGAAAGGAATCGAATAATATTTATGTTTGATAAATCCTGTACAAAATCTTTATCACGAACCTGACATGTTATTATAACGCAAGGTGTTAACCGTACGAACTTATTTAATTATCCAATAATAAAGATATACAAAAACCATCATATTATGTCTCAATAAGAAAGAACTGTCAAATATAGCAAGAATACTAAAATGATCACCTTGATCAATGTTACGAGTTGAAGGATTAATCCATACTACTTGGATCATTGAAGACAGACCTTACTACTTATATTATAGACTGTAGACTTTATACTACTCGTCCTATAAATCAGGAACTTTACAATATCCCCCTGACCAAGGACAAACCGTAAAGTACATGTCTGCTCGTGGACGGACCGTGTAGGTACTGGATGCCTGATTAATGGTACTATCTACACTACTTGTCGGACAAACAGCGGTACCTACACCAGTTGCCTGACAAATCACGGGATTTACGCCACTATAGCAGCAACCAACGAGAATCGACTAAATTGCACCGGTTTAGTTCTACTTATTCGATTACTGACGACCTTAATCTACATAATTGATTAATGGAAGTTTTATTCAGATTATCTGACCATGAATAATTCCATCCGCTTTATCTGATCGAACGATACCTCTTATCGCGTGTTTGTCTGATGCTTGGCTTTACACAATTCAACATGTTTAACTTATATAACTATCAGGAGAATGTTAGCACTCATGTATTTATTTTAAATGCTAATATGAGATACACACTGTTGTAAAAACATTACTTTTAGGTGAATGTTAATATAGTATTAAAATCCATGACGAGGAAAATACATTTCTTTTAATTTTAACTTTTGTAAATTACAATAGCAAACATTTTATTTTACACAAAAATCACTTATTTAACATGGAGCAGCATCATTTTTATATATTCATTATCAGGTAAACATTGTAAATGTGGACAATAAATATTAACCTCATTGTGAAAACCGCTTTATATATTGCTATAACGCACAACGAAATATTATTAAAACAACACACGCGCGCACACACACACACAAATGGTTGGTATAAACTATTCTCGAGATATTAATTATAATTGTTTACGATTGTTAGAAAAATGTGTACGTATCAATATATATCGACGTATTTAATATATTGTATTCCATTTTGTTTGGGAAACGATTTTGTTATTATATTACCCTCATATTTTACAAATCTTGCAGTTTGTTTAAATTGCGTCTTGTGTATTAAATAAAAGTATTATTTATTAAAAACTCAACAATGACGTAATATAAACAGAAAATAAGTAAAATTTGTTAACGCAAAATTATACGTTTCTAATTCCCTTTTCGTTTATTTGCTTATTTGTGTCTTTTGTGTTAGTCATTGATCAGATATTGAATTTTATAGTTGACATTCCAACTGCAAACGTATTACAGGGTGAACGTCCCGGAAGGCTTTACTCGGTTAAGCTTTATACATTTCAGTGGTTCTGAAACTGGTCGATTTGTTGCACCTGTGGCAATTAAGGGCTCTGAGCCTTAAATGAATTGATGCTCTAACGCTTAATCGTGTAACTCGATGTATAAGTTTATCTAACAAGACTTGCTACTAAAATTTCTTAGTCAGTTTGTGTAAAAGACACAAGTTGATAGTGTTCCAGACATGGTTTCATGTGCACTACACGAATATCTTTGAAAAATGTGGGTCTCTATTATAACATTTTTAACTGATTTCCACAGCATTTGTTAACATCACCTAACTCATGCAGCTCAGAAATGAATTCTTAAGAATTAAAATATCATAAAAAATAACGTGGTTGAAAATAAATATTCATATTACTTTTTTCCGTTCCTATTCTTATATTCCTAGAACGCTATTATTTCTAAGTTTCCATATGGATAAAGATATTTGCAGCGAACCATTAAGAAATTAATTTTCACATTCATTTCTTCACAAATATTACAATTCTGATAAATTTACCAGCTTTTTTTCTTTCATATATTTACTATTACAAAATAAACTCTGATTAGTAACTATATGGGTATCTTAAATGTATTTGACAGAGTTCGATAAAGTATTTTAAATTATATATTGTATATGTACATTGTGATATCATAAGGAAGAAGATTCTCATTTATTTTCGAATACATTGTTCCTTTCAGGTACATCTTTAATTTAAATTAATCTTTATTGCTTTTTCGATACTCACAGCTACTTCACCGCCATCAAATAATCTCAATTAACTATGCCGTAATATCGACAAAAACTGAAGTGCCCAATTAAATCTAAAGCGCCTTGTTGGCGGTTCTATCACGTGATAATCACCTTTCTCCTGAATAATATCCGGAAATAATTGCTGCAATTAAAGCCATTTGTCGACACATATTAGTTTCGAGACGCATCACATAATTAAATATAATTAATCAAAATAAAGAACATATACTTTTAACATATTTTATTGTTTTATCATTTATACGATTTTTTAAACAATAAGAATAAAATAATATAAATGAAAGAAAAGATCTCAGTAAATCAAAGTGTACATTGTACGCATTGCGTACGTAATATGGTAGTGTTTGATATAAACTGTATTTTACAGTATTCTTGATTTTATCAAACGTAGTATATACTATGAATTTAAATTAAAAAAAGCGTTGAACAAACATAACTGGTTTAAAGCTTCACAAAAGAGTTATGACTAGACTGCGGATTTTTATGCATTTATGTGAAACTTGAAAATGTAAAATTGCACAGAATCCACGCTACACGATAAAACACATAAAACATCCAATGTGTAGTGCTTTTCGTAGTCTCTTTTAGGAAAAACTATTTTCCATTTTTCTGATTGTGTTCCCAAAAATTGAATTTACATAAAGCTCTGCAGTCCAGTTATAACAAAAATCACTTTAATAAACTTCTGATACACGTTTGATATTGTTTAACACTATTTTTACCAAGACACCTTCGCCTTTAGTTGCAAATAACTATAAAATAATTTTATCTCGATTTAATTAGATAATTATAAAAGAAAATACAAAATTGTAAGATACTACTATAAAATCAAAATGATTAATTTAAAAACTTCTTTTATACCTTTGATAAAAATACCGTTAAAAGTCATTTTACAAAGGGAAACAAAATGACGTTTTCAGTCATAAACGTGACTACAGAAATTGATTGATGGGACAATGTCCCGAAATATTTAAAAAACCTTTCATCCGATATAACACTACTCCATTTGATTCTGCAGTTTTAACAGTCTTATAACGCAGTATTTCGAATTCTATATTTTCCATTGATTCACCTTGTAGCGATTTTCTAAATCGTTCTACTTGCCCGATACACGCTACAAAATACCGCAAATAAAAATGATATGTTTTTTATCCACTGTCCAGTTTCGTTTATCCCTATTATTTACGTGTCAAAGTGACCTGGTTTAAGCTGTTTCATTTAGTGCCTGGTTTTTTCGAGCGATCTCGCGCGTTAAGCGGCGTCTCCCTGTATATCATTTTTACGAGGTTCCATTAGTCCGCCATCCATCCGAGAGAGGATCCATTGGGATAGCTTTCAGAAACATTTCACTGTAACGTCTGTTTACTGTAATCCTTTTCCGAAAGTTCTTTAGCTGGTCTTGACCCGGGGCGGCATTGCTTTTCGTTTCACCGGTCACCGACAGCCATTCCGCTGTTACAACCGCAACGCCAGGAAATAAACACAGGGACTGATGCACGCCGGGCACCGCGGCGCATCCCGTGCACCCCTGGAAACGATCTAGGGCGCAGCGAATAAATTTCAGGCGAAACGTAAACCGTTACCGGCCAAGTTCGTGCCACCTTTCCGAGCCCGCGGCTGTATTTTACGCGAATTGGTAATGCCATTCTGAAATGTGCGGCTGAAATGTGGCTGTTTCCACTGTCTTCTGGCGGCCACGACCAAATTCGCTTGAATGTATGAGAGGCTTAAATAACTTGAGGTTATTTATAATTAGACAGCGAATTATGTATGTACGTTTGTTAAGTGTTTGAGAATGCCTACTTCGTTGCCCATTGTAACTTTCATTTGAAACATTTTTGATCTTAATGGAAGAAAGATTTCGAGATTTGTTTTGTCTTTGTAAACTTACCAAAAATAATATTGCGCCGAGAATAGTGAGTTGTATTTATATATTTGTGTTCTTTGGCGAATTTTATTGAAATGAATCTATTTCTGCTTGTTCCTTTGGTCTGTGATGGATTCTTAATATTACTTTATTGTAAGATTAACTTACTCCAAACTATTTTTATAATAAACTTTAGTACTGCATTATTATATTTTTATCTTGTTATCTTGTTATCTCGTGATCTTGTTATATTGTTGTATTATTATATTATTATATTACTACATTACTACATTATTATTGTTAATTACTTAGTTGATTGTTTTATAATAAATATCACATTTCTTTCTTGATAATAATGGTTTTCGCATTATTATAAATATTATATATGTCTTATAATATGCAGTACAGAACAAACTGCAAACAAATACAAATTGTATTAAGACGTAATACAAATTTTGTTGATTTTTATTTCATGTAACGCAGTCAATAATACGAGAAATCGATTTCTATTGAATTGGACAATATTGGAAAGCGAAGTATCAACAGTTTCGTAGACAAGAATACTTGTTAAATACAATAATCGCTCTTCATTGTACTTCACTCCTTATACGAAATGTAAATACC